GGCGTGTGAAAGATTCAGAGACTTTTATTGGCAAGCATTTTGAAATGGAGACTGATCACAGGCCATTACTGAGTCTCTTGGGATCACAAGCTCTGGATGTTCTTCCCTCTCGTATCCAGAGATTTAAATGTGGCTGATGCGATACTCCTACTCCATTGTTCATGTACCAGGAAAGAGCTTGTGGGTAGCCGATACTCTGTCACACACTCCTGTAAAACAGAGTGAGTCACAAGAAAGAGAGGGAGTTCATGCTGGAAAACAAAACATACCTGTTGGTGGTAGACTACAACTCCAGATATGTGGTATTAGCCCAGGTATGACCTACCAGGTCTACTAATGTCATTGTTCACTTGAAGTCCATATTCGCGCACCATGGAATTCCAGAGAGGCTGATTACGGACAATGGGCCACAATTTTTTGGGCACTCATTTGCATCCTTTGCAGCATTGTTTACTACAAAGCTACCCCATTGACAAAATATACTTGACAACTAGAATAAACAACGAACATGTGCTACAGCAGTAATTTAAATGTTAACTGGAAGGTGACATTAACATTTGTGTTGTCTTTGACAGCCCAGTTTGCTGTCGTGATTGCTTACATTTTAATAGCTTTCTTTAAAATATCATTGTTTTCAGAAAAATGGTGGCATTTAATCACGAAGGCGCGTGGCGTTTTCTTGTCATTCACTGGTTTGATGCCTAGAGTGCAGTGTGCCCAGTCCAGAAGTGGAGTCTTCTTGAGGTTCAGGGAATCTTTTTAGATCCCTGGGACTGGAGGTCTCTCTAAACGGAAATCTTCCATGGGAGACCGTCGAGGAGAGACACTAGGTCAGAGAACCACACTCGTGTGGGCCAATAAGGGGCTACCTGCAAGTAGACCCAACAGCTTCTGGAATTGTTTGACAGTGATGGCTTGGCCCAGTCTGATTCTCTTAGCGGCTGCCCGAATGGAGTCGATTCGGGTAGGGGACAGACACGCAAACATCGTCGTGGAGTCCCATAGCACACCTAAAAAAGTGGTCGTCTGAGCTGGAACAAGCACACTTTTCTTTTGGTTTAGCCGCAACCCCAATTTCTCTATGTGAGCAAGAACAACACCTCGATGTTGGACCGCGAACTCCCTCGATCGGGATAGAATGAGCCAATCATCAAAGTAATTGAGAATTCGAATCCCTTGTAGCTGCAGCTAAGCCAAAGCTGCAACAAAGATATTGGTAAATGTGCGGGGTGAGAGTGCTAGGCCGAACGGAAAACCCTGTACTGATAAGCCTTGCCCCCGAAGGCGAATCTGAGGAACTTCCTGTGACTTGGAAGGATGGATATGTGGAAGTATGCGTCCTTCAGATCTATCGTGACAAACCAGTCCTCGGACTGTATTTGTGACACGATTGTGCTGATAGTCAACATTTTGAACTTCAGTGTTTGTAGGGAGCGATTTATCTGTCTTAGATCTGATATCGGACGCAGCCCTCCATCCTTCTTTGGAACAATGAAGTAACGGCTGTAAAACCCTGACTCGATGTCTAGAGGAGGGATCTGTTCTATGGCTCTCTTTCTCAGAAGAGATTCTACTTCTTGTTCCATCACTAGAGCCTGCTCTGGCTTCACTAGGGTATGGAGCACCCTGTTGAAGCAAGAGGGGCGTGAAGCAAACTGAATTCTGTTGCCCTTCTCTATGGTAAGCAGGACCCACTGCGAAACATTCGGCAGCCGTTTCCACTCTGCCAAAAATTTCTGCAGGGGTACCAGTCTCTCGAGTCTGGTCTCTATGTTCCCCTGAGTAGCTAACTCTGGGCACTGAGGCACACTCACCACAGGAGGCCCCTGATATAACTGCTCTTGGACCCTCGGTAGAGGGGGCGAGTCCACTAACGTCACCACTTTTGGAATGAAACGTTTGTTGATAACGCCGGGGGTCTCCACGCCCTAAGGCACCAACAATGGGAGGGTTGGTGGATAGACCCCCTGTGGGCAACGAAGAGATGGCCTTTGCTACTCGTTGGGGGCTGCCCGAAGAAGTCCCAATGCTAGGACCTCGGACCACCATATGTTACCGTCTTCGCCTCTTGAGAGCGTTTCCCACCCCATTTCCTTTTTGGGGGCTGACGGGAAGCCACACTCTCTTTTTGCTCAGCTCTATACCAAGCAGATGAGCTGGTTGATGGCTGGGGCTGGTCCCGCTGAAGAGCCCCAGAAGGATTCCCTTTAGGGTGAAAGAAGCTCCCGTAGGAGCCCGATCTCTTTTTCGCCTGCTCAAACGATTTTGCGACTCTATCTACAGAGTCACCAAACAAACCTGCGGGCAAAATGGGAGCATCAAGGATAATACGTTTATCTTCCTCCTTGATGTCAGCTTGATTTAGCCATAAATGTCTCTCCGTTACCACCATGGCCGCCATAGAGCGGCCTAAAGATCTAGCTACTTCCTTGGTGGCACGGAGAGACAGGTCCGAGGCCCGAAGCATTTCTCTTACTGTATCGGGCCCCGCCCCGCCATTATCAAGGGCTTCCTTCAGCAGGTCCACCTGTTATGTCGTGTGCAGACACCCAACAGACTGGCCTGCTGCCGCATATGTCTTGCTGACTAACATAGATGTTAACTTTATTGGTTTTGACGGCAAGGCGGGGGTCTTCGCCGACGATGCCTGAGGTAGCAAATGGCGCACCAAATGCTCCTCCATTTTCGGCATTGTAGGCATCCGTGTTCATTCAAACCAGCAACGGCTGAATATATTAATCCTTGCTGGCTTATAACACGGGTAGTTTATGGGTTTTTCTATGTGTAAATGACCTCTTTTTGGAGATCTTTGTTACAAGGAAGACCCCCCTCAGAGGCCTATCTCGTGATGGCAGGATGCGTTCATCACATAAACCAGTTTTTTGGCGCACTTCCTGCCTCTCCACTTCCCAGTTAATATTATATTTAGCTGTTAGATTGGCCAGGACCTCTGCCAGCTTATTATATTCGGGGCATAATGGGGGAACGTCATTTTGGCCCCAAAGGCCCTCCATACTCTCGACTCCCTCAGAAGCCGGGAGGCGGAGCAGCGGCTCATCAGCACGAGAGGAAGAAGCTAATGAACGGGCTTCCAGCTCGCGCTGACTGGACCTCGATCTGACAGTAGAAGGAGGAGAAGAAGCCCTCGAGCTTGTCTCCATCCTCTCTGCCAGATTGAGCTGCGATCCCCATGACATTAATCGCCGCTCGGCCTCAGCACGGGCGGGACCAGTGCCGCGAGGCACGTCTGCCGCCGGCTCTTTATCAAACAGAGCTCGGTGACTTCGCAGCATTCGGCCAGGAAGTGAATCGCAATGCACATAGCCACCCCCCTCAAGGGCTGACTGTGCATGCTCCTGACCAAGGCACTGCACACACAGATCAATCCTGTTCTGTGATAAAACGAGGACATGGCGGTACACATGATCTAAATTTCTTTTCCATTTTACGTCTTTTTAAATAGAAAATGAAAGTGCGTGCTTTTATTCAGTATAAATAGTTTTTGTAGTGACTCATCAGTGCTGTGAGTGCTTCAAAATCAACAAACTCATTCACAGAGTGAAGAGAGAAAAAGCTGAAGTTCACTGTGTGTGGGGGGCTTTTATACCTTTGGTCCGACGCCACACGCACATTGCGTCCCGCCAATTACATTGGATTGATTACACCTGTGCTTCAGAAGGTTATAAGAGAGGGATGGTATCCCATTGTTTCTTCTAAAAGAGACGCAGCGTAGAGTTCCCTTTAGGGAACTGCAAATCATTTCAGGCCAGCAGATTTGTCAGATTTGAAAACGGGGAAAAATAATGATGATAATAATAGTTCGAGGAGAAAACAAAACAAGAAAAAATTAATTTAATGAAAATTTGGGCAAAGAAAACCAAAACTTTTGCTTCTTACCCACGAAGCGGAGGGTTTAAGGGAAATGAGAGGGGAATGGCGAATGTGGAGGTGTGGATTTGAAGGTTGCAGGCGTCGGCGAACCCAACCGGTGAGTCCATGTCAGCGAGATAAATTGGTAAGTTGATTTTTTTCAGGACACACTGCACTGAAGTCTTTGGCGACGCACTCCTTCACAGACGTCACGAGCACTTCAGTAACAAGACAGCAGTCTTTGCTTCGTTGCTTCAATACATACTTTCAATTTTTTTCTCACTGCCAGTTTTTAAGTTTACACTGCTCGTCTCAACCCGGTTTCTCTACTTGTTTCCTGCACTGCAACAGTTCAGTCAACTTCTCTTCCTTCCACACACCACATAATGCTGCCCTCTTCAACTCTCCCATGGGTGGAGACCAATTAAACAATGTTGACTGTCATCACAGAAAACGCCAACAATAATAAATGCATGATTATGTGAGTTTTTATTTTTTTTATTTCAAAGCACTTTCCCAGAATATGTCAAAATAAGATGGCCACAAATATCAGTCAATTTGCAGAAACACAGAGAAAGATTTTTTTTCAAATTAAACATGAAAATCACCTCAGAATAGATTAAAATGACCCAACAGCACACAAGGGAAAAGGTGCACATTCCAGCCTTTATGCAGATGCTGTACAGGTATGTCTCATATCTGCGAGGCAAATATTCAATGTTCAGCTGTTACCCCAGAACTTTTTATCTGATGTATTTATTTATTTCATGTATTCATATACTTGAATATATACAAATAAAAATAGGACATTTACAGCATTTTTCTGTCTTATCATAATGATCAAAATTACTTTTATGAGAAACTCTGAAAACTGACAGTTTCAATTTACTATAGCTTCTATGTTAAGCGACTTTGACACAATTTGCATTGTAAAATTTAATTTTAATGTGTCCATTAATGTGGACGCGTTAATGGACTGAACACAATATGATCTGATTTATTTTACATTTAATGTGCATCAAAATTACAGTGTGTAGCCAATGTTTTCAGTGTCTTTTCACTTTTCAGCTTTTTATGAGAGTTTTTAAGACTTAATGAAAACTAATGTTTTTTTTTTTTGCTTATTTCAGACCTAATTGAAGAGAATGAGGGGAGTGAGGAGGAACATCATGTCAAAATTGAGGAAAAAACTTATTTGCAGACTGATGGCATTTTGAAAAGGAGAAACAAGAATCGTTTCACCTGTACACAGTGTGGAAAGAGTTTGGCAAGCAAAAGCCAACTTAAAATTCACATGATAATCCACACTGGAGAAAAACCATTCACATGCACTCAATGTGGGAAGAGGTTTAACTGCTCATCAAACCTTAATCAACACATTAGGATCCACGCTGTAGAGAAACCATTCACATGTACTCAGTGTGGGAAGAGTTTCAGATTATCATCACACTTTAATCAACACATGATGATTCACACTGGAAAGAAACCATTCAAATGCACTCAGTGTGGGAAGAGTTTCAGCCAATTATCATTACTTAATTACCACATGAGTATCCACACTGGAGAGAAACCATTCAAATGCACTCAGTGTGGAAAGAGTTTTACCTGCTCATCCTCTCTTAATCGACACATGAGGATCCACACTGGAGAGAAACCATTTGCATGCACTCAGTGTGGGAAGAGTTTCCTCCGCTCATCACACCTTAATCGACACATGAGGATCCATACTGGAGAGAGACTATTCACATGCACTCAGTGTTGGAAGAGTTTTACCTGCTCATCACACCTTTATCGACACATGAGGATCCACACTGGAGAGAAACCATTCACGTGCACTCAGTGTGAGAAGAGTTTCATCCGCTCATCACACCTTAATCGACACATGAGGATCCACACTGGAGAGAAACTATTCACTTGCACTCAGTGTGGGAAGAGTTTCAGCCAATCAATATCCCTTAATTACCACAGGAGGATTCACACTGGAGAGAAACCATTCACTTGCACTTAAGCTGCGGTCACACTGGATTTTTCTTCCTATAGACTTTCATTTATACGCATGTGAATGCGTCAGACTGGAAACGCAAGTTCGTGCCTCAAGTTTCGCAGTTCATTGCCTTGCAGAGTTCAAGCTTGGGGAACTCTGACCTGCCAAAATTGCATAACTTGACTGTGTGAGACCTATCGAAGATCAAAACATGACCTCTCTGGACAGTTTTTAATGTCCAGTTTTAAACATTTTTAATGTTTAATCATCTTGTTTAATCCTGCTCCTTTTCACAGCGCTGTACAACAGAATTTTGCATGCTCAAATTCTAGTGTGACCACAGCTATGGTGTTGTAAATGTGTTGTGCTTCTCGCATTTATGTAAACACAATGATGGCGGCTGAGAGAAGAACAGTTTCATAAACATCTGGCAAACAGCACCTCTGCGGCTTGAAATCTCATCTGTACTGTACTCCAGTGTAATTATATAGCTAGTGTTGTTTTGGATGATGTTCTGTTTGACTCCCTAAATGAGAAATCCAGATTGGAGTATGTGGTAAATCCTGATTGGATGCCGGCATTGCTCATCAATGGGTATATGAAAGTTGTTGTGCTAGCTACCCCAGGACCTGTGGCTACTCAGCCACATGTCAAGACCTGCCATTTCATTGACTCTTTAACCTTATGGTTTTGTTTTGCATTACTTATATCATGTAGTTAAAGTTTTGTTGTGATTATATCCTAAGTTCTTTATCTTTATTAGTATCCCTAGACATTTGTTGGTTGTTTTGATTGACTGTTTTATGAGTTACATTTTATAATAAATCATTTGCATTCAGGCTATTTTGTTGGTTCATCTCTCTTTTATGCTGCGAAATGCTTCTTTCTAGAAAAAGAAGATGGAACTCGATATCTCAAAGTGAGATTCCCCAGAGAAGTGATATCTCTTCCTTACAGCACAAGGCTGGAAACGGCAGAAGGTCAGCAATATTTTAGGGTGATGCACAGCCACCAGGTTAAGAATTGTAGACTGTGCATGAGCCCGGACCATATGGTCAAAGATTGCCCAGACTTTAAATGCCATAAATGTGAGGAAAGTGGACATTTTGCCAGAGACTGCGATACCATTAAGCGCCCGGACTGCTAGAACTTTTTAAGTAAGTGTGAATATTTGATGGAGGAAGAGGAGGATGAGATCCAGGTAAGTGGACAAATGCACGAAGGAAACAGTGGAAAGGAAAGTTATGAAGAGGAACAAACGACACAAACAATACAAACTACAACAGAGGATATTGAAAAAGAGGATCTTAAAGAACAAAGCAAGGGAACAGACAGACTGGAAAACACGAAGAGGAAGTAGAAAAAGACAAACTTGAGAAAAGACAAATAAGACAATGAGCAAAAGCTTCATCAAAATTAGAAACTGCAAGAAAAAAAGGTTTGAAAAAAGGACAACTAAAAAGCCACAACAGATATGATTCTTTGAGAGGTTTGGGAGAAGAAGAGGACTAAGATGACGGTTTTTATTTCCTTTTTCCTTCTTTTAAGGGTTTTAAATTGTGTGTCTTTTAATGCAAGAGGTTTAATGGACTTAAGATAATTTAAGAATGTAAAGGAAAAATGTAAAAGAGAAGAAATAATTATTTTACAAGAAACAAATTGGAAAAATGAGGTGATGGACGTATATAAAAAAGAATGGGATGGGGACTTTTATTATAGTAATGGAGATGGGAAAGCTGGGAGAGGAGTAGCAATTTTAATAAAGAAGAATGCACTGCAAATGAGTAAAGTTATATATAAAGACAAACAAGGAAAATGTATGATCTTAGAAATAAAATATGAAGGGAAAGATATTATTTTAGTTAATGTGCATGCACCAAATGAAGAGAGTGAAAAGAAAAGCTTTTTTAACATATTAAGAAGGTTTTTAAAAAACTATAAACAAATAATAGTATGTGGGGATTTTAACACTGTTTTTAGCAGACAGGACATAACAGAAGGTATGGTTTTTAAATCAGACACGGGAAGGAAAGAACTAAAATCACTAATAGAGGAAAAAGGAATGATAGACATTTGGAGAGAAAGAAATGGGAAGGAAAAAGGAGTTTTCTAGAAGACAAATAGTAGGAAATTTTGTAAACCAATCGAGAATAGACTATGTGTTATGCACAAGAAAAATAAAAATTTATATAGAAAAAATAAGCTACGATGAAACTGTTTTAAGTGACCATAAATTTGTATTTTTTAATTTTAATACAGAAGAAATACAAAGAGGCCCAGGGGTATGGACATTAAATAGTGAAATTTTTAAAAACGAAGACTATGTTAAAAAAGTAACAGAAATAATAGAAAAGGAAAAAGGAAACCAGATTTATAATGAAGACAAAAGACTATGGTGGGAAAATGTCAAATTTCTGATTAAAAAATCTACATTAACATTCTGTAGAATAATATAAAGAATAAAAGACACAAAGAAAAGACAATCAAAGAAAACTTAGAAAAAGAACTAGAAAAAAATGAAACAGACATTCAAAAAATAAAAGAAATGGAGGGAAAACTGAAAGAAATAGAAGAAAAGAAATATGAAGGAGCTAGACTAAGAAGCAAAGCAAAATATGTAGTAGAGGGAAAAAAATGCACAAAGTTCTTCTTTGATTTAGAAAGACAAAAAGGAAAAGCAGAAACAATAAAGATAATACAAGGGGCAAAAGGAGAAAGCATAGAAGGAAATGAAGAAATTTTAAAAGAAATCAAAAAATACTTTGAGGAGTTATTTAAAACACAGGGAGTTGATGAAGTACAAAATGGCAAAATTATTAAAACAGATAAAAACAAAAATAGATGAAGAGGATAAAAGAGAATGCGACCAAGAAATAAGGGAAGAAGAAATAAGAAAAGCAATAGAAAACTTGAACAAAAGGAAAAGTCCAGGAATCGATGGTTTAAATAGTGAATTTTATGTATGTTTTAAAGAAATTTTAATTCCAATTTTAACTGACGTTTTTAAGGAAATACTGCAAAATCGGGTCGGGGAGTAAAGTAAATGAAGACAAAACGGTTTATATGAAATTTGGAAAGGAAACAGATTTAGCAGAATGCACCAATTTTAAAGAAGTAGAAGAAATCAAGATTTTAGGGGTTTTATTGGGGAAAGATGCCAGGACAGCGAGAGATAAGATGTGGGAAGGTTGAATGAATTTAAAGAAGGCTTTTTAACTGAACAATATGTTATAGACACAATGGAGGAGGCGAAAGAGGAATACAACAGAAAGGAAATTGAGAAAAATCTTGACATAATTAAACAGGCGATTCCAAAAGAATGGATAAGAAGCATAGAAAATTTTGAAAAAGAAAAAGAAACAAAAGAAGTGTATGTGAAAACAGGTGAAAAAATATGCAATTTTAATGAATGTACTGTGAAAAATATTTATTGTTTTTTTAGAGAGAATGTTTTTAAAGAACCAACAGCAAACAAATACTGGATAGAGAAATACAAAAATGTAAAAGCAAATGAAATATGGGGAAACATGAAAGGAAGGTATGTAGAAACAAAAGTCGAATGTCTAGAATTTTTAATAAGGCACAAAGCAATCTTTTCTGATGTCATTTTAAACAAGATAGGAATGGAACGAAGTGGAATGTGTAAAGTATGTCAAAAAGAAGAAGAGGGTTTTTTACACATGTTTTTATATTGTCAAGAATTGGAAGGTTTTTTAAAAAATTGTAAAGTTTTAATTAAAGGACTACTTGGAGACTGGGATGAAAATGAAACAGATGGAACAGAGTAGTTATGTTGGGATGGAATAAGAACAATGAAAATAAGAAAATAGTAAACCTATGTATAATGCTGATGAAAAATGCAATGTGGGAAAGGAGAATTGTGGCAAAAAAAGAGAAAATGGTGATGGATGTATGGGGAATTTTGAAGAGGAAAATGGAGAGATATGTGGAAAAACTGTATGTATATCATAAAAATGAGAACATTTTGAGTGAGCTGCACAAAATTCTGACGAACAAAGCATGTCAAGTTTTTAAAGAAATGAACTGGAAACTACCACGTTTTTAATGTTTTTGAATATGAAAAGATCTTTTAATGTCTGTTTTATTATGATTTACTGTAAAAGATTGTAATTGAAATTGGTTCAATAAAAAAAAGAGAAAAAAAAAAAAAAAAAAAAGGAAATGCCCGATCTCATCTGAACTCGGAAGTAAAGCAGGGTCGGGCCTGGTTAGTACTTGGACGGGAGACTGTCTGGGAATACCAGGTGCTGTAAGCTTTTCGAAGTCCTTCATTTGGCAGCTGATAGACTTCCCCGTGTCACAGCTTCGCTGCCATTATTTTTTCTCGCCTTCAAGGGCATTGTTTCTGTCGGTGCTGTGTCGATGCCAGCTGAGCTGCGCTCGTAAAAAAAAAAAAAAAGGAAATGCCCGATTTTATCTGAACTCGGAAGTAAAGCAGGGTCGGGCCTGGTTAGTACTTGGATGGGAGACCGCCTGGGAATACCAGGTGCTGTAAGCTTTTCGAAGTCCTTCATTTGGCAGCTGATAGACTTCCCCGTGTCACAGCTTCGCTGCCATTATTTTTTCTCGCCTTCAAGGGCACTGTTTCTGTCGGTGCTGTGTCGATGCCAGCTGAGCTGCGCTCGCTCCCTGGTGCTGCGCCTGTTTCAAATAGCCAACTCTTGACAACCTCTTTCGCTTACGGCCATACCACCCTGGAAATGCCCGATCTCATCTGAACTCGGAAGTAAAGCAGGGTCGGGCCTGGTTAGTACTTGGATGGGAGACCGCCTGGGAATACCAGGTGCTGTAAGCTTTTCGAAGTCCTTCATTTGGCAGCTGATAGACTTCCCCGTGTCACAGCTTCGCTGCCATTATTTTTTCTCGCCTTCAAGGGCACTGTTTCTGTCGGTGCTGTGTCGATGCCAGCTGAGCTGCGCTCGTAAAAAAAAAAAAAAAAGGAAATGCCCGATCTCATCTGAACTCGGAAGTAAAGCAGGGTCGGGCCTGGTTAGTACTTGGATGGGAGACCGCCTGGGAATACCAGGTGCTGTAAGCTTTTCGAAGTCCTTCATTTGTCAGCTGATAGACTTCCCCGTGTCACAGCTTCGCTGCCATTATTTTTTCTCGCCTTCAAGGGCATTGTTTCTGTCGGTGCTGTGTCGATGCCAGCTGAGCTGCGCTCGCTCCCTGGTGCTGCGCCTGTTTCAGATAGCCAACTCTTGACGGCTTCTTTGGCTTACGGCCATACCACCCTGGAAATGCCCGATCTCATCTGAACTCGGAAGTAAAGCAGGGTCGGGCCTGGTAAGTACTTGAATAGGAGACCGCCTGGGAATACCAGGTGGTGTAAGCTTTTCGAAGTCCTTCATTTGGCAGCTGATAGACTTCCCCGTGTCACAGCTTCGCTGCCATTATTTTTTCTCGCCATCAAGGGCATTGTTTCTGTCAGTGATGTGTCGATGCCAGCTGAGCTGCGCTCGCTCCCTGGTGCTGCGCCTGTTTCAAATAGCCAACTCTTGACGGCTTCTTTCGCTTACGGCCATACCACCCTGGGTACGCTAGAGGGAGTTAGTGTGCAAACAGGAAGTGAAAGGCTGCAGACGGAAGAGAAAGGCTCTCCCTTTCTTTTGTTGTTTTATTTAGTTTTTTTGGGTGTTTATTATAGTTTAAGGAGTTATTATTTTTATTTTCGGAGTTTAAACCACCTGACAGCAGCACATGTGCTAGCTGGAAGGTGGTTATTCACCTTTTTTGCTCGGATTTTTTTGGGACAATGGAAAGCACAAAGGACAAATTCACTGGACTTTCGGGGAAAACAAGAGGAGAAAATAACACAGAGA